TTCTTTCTCCTGGTATTGCAGTGTCTATAATAATAATAATAATAATACAACAACAACAACAAATAATGTCCCAATCAGGATTGGCATCACCATAGATGGAGTAGGGAAAGACTTATCTTTTTCAGCTCCTCTTTGGCCATTATCACTGTGTGGGTGATGGTGATGATGAAAAGTAGACAAATATCTAGAGAAATCTAATATTGTCTCTATTCTACCAGCATGAGCAGTTAACCTTACAACTACCCTCTTATGATCTGTTTAGAAGTATGGTTATCTGGTGGAAGTTTATCTCCAAACTAACCCCTTCTCCTTTGGCTAATGACCAGATTTAGCTTGTTCACTCAATGTTCTGACCCCACCAGGTCATAGAATCAGGCCATCCATTTGAAAGATTGGAGAGACAGAAGGGAACTGGTCCTAAGCTGTTGACTTTTCTAGCTAGCTTATATCAATCCAAAGCAAAGTTTCAAATAGCTACAGAAGCAATTCTTCTTCTCTGAAATTGGAAATCTTGGTGTAACTGAAATATCTTATCTGAAGGGAAGATGATGGTTTTCCAAATAATTACCTGTGAATTGGGGTAAGGCAGATAAGTGGAGGTACAAAAGGGTGGATGTCATAGCTAAAAAGTATGCCTAAGGTCCTGCTTGCCTGATGAATTTAATCCTTTTTATAATAACTGAACACGTTCTTCCCTCTTCTTCCTCTCAGCTCATTAATCTAGTTTTATTCTTCCTTTTTATTTTTCTTCCCAGTGCAGCTAACCCTTTGTCTCCTTCCAGCTACATCTGGTTTCATCCCTTCTTTTGCTGTTTCTTCTGGAAGATGGGAAGAGATTGTGTGAGAGAGAATGTACTTGTGTCTTTTTATGTGTATAAGATTCTGTGCAGATGGAGATAAAATAATTTTATAAAGACTATATCTTCTTTTATCACAATTAATAGTTTTTAATTCAGGTTTTATTTACTGTGTTGTGGCTGTTCTTTCTTTTGAAGGGTGCCTTTTGGTATATGTGTGTGTGGGTATTTGGGTTTTGGTGGGAAACTCAAACTGGCAACTGAACCAATCCCCAGCCACAACCAACAAGAGGAAGAAGTTGAGGATTGCTCAGGATTTTTGTCTGTATTTATTGTTATTTTTGTCTACTATTCCTTTTTATGAGGAATGTCACCTTAAATTGAAGATGATTTTCCTTTCAGGTAAATATGGTATATACTGTCTCCCCTATTTTGAATGTTAGTTTGCAAACTTTTCAGGGCAGGGAACTGTCCCTCTATACTCTGTTAAACACTGTTGTCAAAAACTACCTTTTGTGGCATCAGATAATATCTTGGCTGCAATCTAATGCATATAATCTTCTGAATAATTATACTTAGACCTACATAACTTTTAAAATACTAGTGGTTTGCACTGCTAGAACAACTTAGGAGGTTGGACTGAGAGTCACAAAAGCATAATTCCACAATTAATGGAAAGGTAGTTTACCATTATCCCCTCCCACTTTGGCCCCCCAACTTCCCTTCAAATACAGTTGAACTTGCCAGGTTTAAATCCAGTAGACCTTTTCAGGTGATCAACAGAGAAAATGGAATTTGAAAACTCCTTAGCAATGTTTATTGTTAACCTGGTTATCTCTTATCAGGTACTACTAGGATTCTAAACCAGAAGATGTCTTCTCAAAGCCATCGTAGTACTTTGTCACTGAAAGACATACTAGACAATGGATTTCTGATCAGTGCTTCCAGCTGTAGCCACTCTCCAAGTAGCAGCTTATTTCTGGACATGAATAGTGTTCCGAAATCAGAATTATGGGACAGTACAAACTATATTCATAATATAAGTAAAGGGAATACTCTAACTATCAAGGTAACAGAATCCTCTTTGGGTAGTGTGAAGGGAGACCTGCAAACTTCATGTGACAGTGGGACATCTTTTTGCAAAACTCCATTCCAACCATCTGCCTTTGACTTGTCAAACTTTTCTGCTAATAACAGCAAAGCAAATCCCATAGTGAACACATTCCATGATACTAAGTCATCTACACCATGCAAAGAAGACAAGGCCTCTGTACTAACTGAAAACATGATATTAAAAAATTCTGAAATGAGTGATTTTGTGGTCTTCAAGAAACCACTGCCCCCACCAATATGGGAGATCTCTGGAATACAAGCCACTTTGGACAACACTCTGTCTCTTGAAGCAAGCTTAGAAGATACTGGCTCCCTGGGTTGCATGAAAACTGATACTCCTTCTCTGGAGGTGTCACATTTTGCTATGCCACCTGATCCATCAATGAAGCCAACTGATGCTTCTCTTGCCATTCTTTCTGCTGACAACTGAGCCAAAAATTCAAATAAAGAACTGGCTTAATAAGATATTGTGCCACAAAGACATTAACTGAAAGCAACTTTATCCTTTTATATTTAAGGACCTGTTCATGATAGCAATTAATCTAATTTAGTAGTTGAGCAGAACTGAGAGCAAGGTTTATTGAAAGATGTAAAAACTATATTACAGTATAGCCTTTTTGCCATTCTCTGAATGTGGATACCACAGCTGATGTGAAGAGCTGAAATACGGGCAGTGAACTATAGAAAACGTTGATGCAAAAAAACCAGCTTCATTCTTAACTGGGTAAAATATTACTTCATATGCTTTAGTATTTAATCTGCTGTCTAGTTGTTGATTGAAATGTGAATAAAAAACCTTAACTGTATGAATGTCTTGCTTCTCAACCAAACAGCTGGGCTGTGATGCCAGTAAATTTAGTCCCTTTTACTCTTAGGAATCACTAAGGCTAAAACCAGGAACTTCAGCTGTGAATATAGCTGCTCTGTATAGTGAGCTTATCTCAGTTATGGCTTTGGAGCAACTTTTATTGCAGTAAAGAATTCTCAAGCTCTGAACTGGCTTCATCCTGATTATTAGCATGGGATCTAAAAGACTTTTAGCTAAAGGAATATATTGAGTCAGACCACATATTACCCTTGGCCATAACTTGGTTTGATCCAGCACAATATATGGATCTAGTTGTGGATTAATGAATAAATCATGGTTCACACTGAACTCAGTTACTGCTAAAGTTGTAGTAAACTAAATGTGTTCTGAAGTTTCAAGGCTTTTATGAAGTTTAGATGAGGTTCTTTAATGGGAGGAAAGGGCAAGTGCATAGAGAGAAATAAAAGTACAAGGGGAAGCAATGTTTGTTTTGCAATTCATCCACTGAATTAAAGTATGAACTCCTCTTAAGTCTACAAACATCAAATTGTTAAACTGAATTAGCCTAGGAATAGGACAGTTATAACAAGTTCCTCTTTTTTTCCTATACTATTTTGGCAACATGGATCACCTAATAATATCCTCAAAGCAGGATTTGTTTACAGTGTGCAAAGAGAAATGGGTTCTTTAAGCTTGCTGGAAACCTAAACCAAAACCTACTTTCTGCATGAAGCAGAATGTGGACTTTTGTACAAAGTTTTTTCCCCTGCTAGTCTACCTGTCAGTAGTATAAATTGATTCCATTTGAATTGTTTCCATTTCCTTGAAATAAATTGTTACAGGAGGGTGGGTTTGAGTAAATGGAGCTAAAAGACTGTACCTCATTTCTATAAATAAAGTTACCAAGCTGAACAAAAAACACTGCTTTTATGTGGGGAGGAGATCAGTTGTTTCAATTCCTTCCTCTGAGATTAAATGAGCTAAGAGTATCTATTGGCATTACTAAAGTCAAGGCTTAATTGTAACACTTTCTGTTGTGGGAAGAAATTGGCCATATTAGCTGCTTACTCTTCTGCTTTTAAAAAGCTTTGTACAACTCAATTGCACATGCTTTGCCTGGTGAGTGCCTTGCTGTCAAGAACCCCCTTGGGCAACTCTTATTCTTCTATTGGCCATGCTTGTACCAACACTGAAGAATCACCTTAGGGAGCCCCTTAACCCTCACGTGAACTGGGTTTAACCTGCGGTTTTAACTCACCACGTCATTCTAATTCAAAATGAGAATATTCTTGATCTGCTTTAATCAACAACTTAAGACACAAGAGTTGTTACAGCTATTTCTGCAGCTAAGCTACTGAAAGGCCTTTCTGATCAAGAATGGCTGAACAGACTTCCTCATCCAAAGTTGTACCTGAACAGAGGTCTTTAAGACATCCTAATTCATGGAAGTCCGTCTATGTTTCATATCTAGATGGAACAATCTTGCAATAGCAACCATCATTACACATTGTACTAAGGGATGTGGTTTGTCTGGATTTGGTTTAATACATTGTGTGACCTTAGACGATGGTGTTTTAGTTAACAAACATTGGTTAAAAAAAACATGGCATAGATGTGTGAATCCCAGGAATTGGTGCAGCATACCTTCATAAATTTCTAAGGAATAGCAAAAAAATGTGTAGTTGCTGGTTTATAATCTAGCCTGGTTGCTAATGCTTTAGTCTGCATTAAGTGTAAGAGTAAAATCCATTAAATATTTTTTTCAAAGGCAATTATTCTAAGGTCTTGTATGCAAATTGAGCAACTCTGTAGCAATTCTCATTTTACTTATTATTTTTACACAAGTGGGTCACATTATACATATTTATATTGCTCAGAAACAACTTTAGAGAACAAACTAATCAGAAGCAAGAATTTTAAGGTGTACAAATGATTCATTTTTAAAAAACACATTAAATATACAAATATATATATATATATATATACACACACACACACACATATATATATATATATATATAAATCAAAATTACTGCCTTTAAGAGTGTCTCATTCAAAATTTTAGAATATCCCCATATTTACAACATAGTATACAAAATTGGCAGATAACAGTCAGTTATCATGTGCTTGTTCAATAAATTATGATTCCTCTTCTGCCAAAAAGGAGTCATTTATGCTCAGAATTTTTCAGAAACCACCCTGGAATCCAGCTTCACTTGTATCAATATCATGTTCCTTTAAGAAGAAAAAAAGAAAAGTATTAAAATACATCACACACCATCCTAGACTCCCCTTTCCATTTCCAGATTTTAAAATTTTAAAGGTATCACTGGAAAATAGCTTTAATTGACTGAAATTGACTTTAGTAAACAAGCGTATTTAGGGATACTACACCAATAGTTCAGCTCACCCTGTTAACTACCTAACTTTGCTTTGTCTCTGCTACTGTACTGCCTCTAAAATTCTGGATATTATCTTCTCTAACCACATACATCAATGTACATGGAACTATTCTGAGGAATACTGCAGTATGACATTTGCTTTTTAAAGAGATAATAACCTTCATAAGACCGTGGAGAGATTAGACACTTGATATAGCACTAGCTGTTTCAGGGCATATCACATAAAAATGCTGGTACAGATTGTACTTTATACGGTATATGGCTGCTTTCATAGCACCAAAGCTATATTATGTTCAGTTGTGAGACACTTCAAGAAAGTGACTTTAAATATTCTGTGCTAACCAGGCCTAAATAACATAAACCTGAACTAACAATGATTAAGAGATTAGGAGTATTCTGCAGGTTTTCCCAAATCATCTTATCCCTCTTTTAAGAGCTAAGCTTGGTGCAGGATAACAATGGGTTCAACAAGAGTAAAATCTAATCACCTTGTTTTAATCTAGTTTGCAGACACAAGTAAAAAAAATGCAATCTTGATTTATGCACTAGAGTTAGATCTAAAATTGGAAGAGTACACTGATTCAGTATGTGGGAGCATCACCTAAGCTCAGCACTTAGGCCAAGAACCACGTCTTTGGGAGTTGCACTACACAAAGAAGCAAGGCCATATACAATGATTTGAAAAATCAGCAAAAACTCTCCCTTAGGCCAAGAACCACGTCTTTAAAACTCTCCCTTAGCAAATCAGCAAAAACTCTCCCTTAGGCCAAGAAACACGTCTTTAAATTGTATTTTGGGAGTTGCACTACAAAAAGAAGCAAGGCCACATACAATGATTTGAAAAATCAGCAAAAAATAAAATACATTTTAACTCCTACATACTCAGTTATCCCCATCCCTGCACACGTTTCAATTAAGGATTAAATGAACCACAAAGAAGTATAGACATGCTCTCCTATATATACATGCATGCACATCTCATCTATTTGTGGGGGCAGTTTGTCAATATTGGGCAACAGAACCTAAAGGGGTGGATCATGTTAACCCACTGGCCACAAGTTATACATCTAGTTCATAGATAATTATTGTTTTATAGAAGCAAGACTGCAGAATCATCTTTACCTTAAAAATCCCCTTGAAATATTATATCAATACTTTTAATTTAAAAGCAAAGTGTATGATTTATTATGCTACTTCCAAAGTAGCATGCTGAGATCAAGAAGATATCCACTTTCCTAAGAATCTAATTTTATGTATTGTCGAAGGCTTTCATGGCCGGCATACGATGGCTGGTATGGGTCTTCTGGGCTGTGTGGCCGTGTTCTGGAAGTTTTGTTTCCT